TCTTCTACGAGAAAAGTAAAAAATAAAATAGGGACTCGGTGATGACTTGGAGAATTCTTTTGACTTCGAAGGAGCTTTCCGAGTCACGGATGATCGCGGAATGAAAGCAACAGAAAAAAGGAGCCATATGGGATACGAAAGTATAACAATGAGCTAGTCCGGTCCTACGACAACTGTGGATCGTCAACGTGCAGAGTCAAAGACCGGAATGAAGTATCCTGTGAGACGACAATACAGTTGTGAAGGTGAATGTAGACCTTTGTGAAAATGGCCCCTTATTCTTCAAATTTGAAAAAAATTATTATGAGATTTCTGAATGCCCCTCGCAGAGTTGAGTTCGCAATCCTTTATAAAAAGAGCTTCGTCATTTAAAGAAGGGAAAATACTACTATTTTAAATATTACTATTTTAAAAATCGAAGGGCCAACTTCACGACGCTCCCCATTATGTAAAAAATGCAAATTTTTTCAGAGTTCTAGATAGATCTTTAATAATTCTATAGTTCTAGATAAGTTTTAAAAATAGTTCTGCTTAAAACAATAAGAAAAATTATATTTAAAATTCTCGAATTAGAAAACGAAAAATGGCAAGAACCCTACCAATTCTGGTTTTAGCGCGTCGAGTGTTAATAATAATATTTAGAACTCGTGAGGGGCTAACCAGAACTCTGAATAAAACGTCGGATTTTCGAAAAGATTGATTGTTTATTAAGCACGTAAAATTTTTTTTTCGGAAATCCGACGTTTCATTCAGAGTTCTGGTTAGCCCCTCACGAGTTCGGAAGATTATTATTAACACTCGGTGCGCTGAAACCAAAATTGAAAGAGTTCTTGCCGATTTTCGTCCCTCGAGTCGAGTATTTCCATGTCCCTCGGATCGAAAAATTTTTTTGGAAATCCGACGTTTCATTCAGAGTTCTGGTTAGCCCCTCACGAGTTCTGAAGATTATTATTAACACTCGGAGCGCTAAAACCAAAATTGAAAGAGTTCTTGCTGATTTTCGTCCCTCGAGTCGAGTATTTCCATGTCCCTCGGATCGAAAAATTTTTTCGGAAATCCGACGTTTCGTTCAGAGTTCTGGTTAGCCCCTCACGAGTTCCAAAGATTATTATTAACACTCGGAGCGCTAAAACCAGAACTGAAAATGTTCTTGCCGATTTTCGTCCCTCGAGTCGAATATTTCCAAGTCCCTGGGATCGAAAATTTTTTTTCGAAAATCCGACGTTTCATTCAGAGTTCTGGTTAGCCCCTCACGAGTTCTAAATATTATTATTAACATTCGACGCGCTAAAACCAAAATTGGTAGGGTTCTTGCCATTTTTCGTTTTCTAATTCGAGAATTTTAAATATAATTTTTCTTATTGTTTTAAGCAGAACTATTTTTAAAACTTATCTAAAACTATAGAACTATTAAAGATCTATCTAGAATTCTCAAAAAATTTGCATTTTTTACATAATGAGGGGCGTCGTGAAGTTGGCCCTTCGATTTTTAAAATAGTATTTTCCCTTCTTTAAATGACGAAGCTCTTTTTATAAAGGATTGCGAACTCAACTCTGCGAGGGGCATTCAGAACTCTAATAATTTTTTTCAAATTTGAAGAATGAGGGGCCATCTTCACAGAGGTGAATGTAGTTGGTAGGTAAGGAGCGAGACAAGAGTATATGCATAGGCAGTCTAAAAAGTTCTCGATCTGACACGTACATGGCATTAGAAACTGTCAAACTATTGTATTGGGGAGTGGCATCCCTGATGTAAACCCATGTAAACTTTTATTCAATCTGTCAAGTCATTCCAATAGTAGCACCAGTTGAAAAAGCTTTGTGCCAGATGGATGGCATATTTGCCAACTATTGACCAAAAACGCATTCAAATGCGTATTTCCCGAACGTGTCTGGGTGGTTTTAAGCAAAATAAAATGGATTTCACGCGTCGTTTCATAACTGTTGATGAAACTTGGATCCACCACTATACACCGGAGCGAAAAGAATCTTCCTTCCGGAATCACACTTTAATGATGGTATCGAATTATTGGAAAAACGTTGGAATAAATGTATGGAAGTTTCGGGAGATTATATTGAAAAACAAAACATACTTCACGACAAAAAAGTTTTCTTTAATTGTTAAGCCGAGAACCTTTCAAACTGCCCTCGTCCCTCGTCCGGCGTCGACGATGAACGTCGGTGGGACGCGGTTTCGAGCTTTGACGGTGAAGTCCGACACGGAGTGGAGGAGAGTGGAGGAAACACTCTTGATACAATTGCGACAACACCGAAATCGAAACGAAGCGGACTAAGCAGGAAGTCGACGGATAATGTGACAGCGGGATAACTGAGTATAAGCCGCGTAACCAAATCGAAAGTATATAACTTGAAAGCTAACGATACAGCTAAGGAAGGGTCGGGCTTATCGACTTTTTCTCATTCACAGATGCTTCGACTTTACCCGAAGAAAGTCTTGTGTGTACTATATGTATTATGTGTGTTCGCGTGCTTTTGATCCTTCGATGTGATCGAAATAAAGTTCAGATCGATCAAGCCATAATAAAAAAAACGATCGTCGATATTAACGGGCTTCTACGTAACGTAAAATCCACTGGCTGTTTGGCTGGATATAAAATTATGGCTATAATAATACCAAGTGAAATCTCACGTCATGTGACGAAACAATTTCAGAAAATGTAATTATCCGAAGGCACGGGTTATTAAGTTTGCCTGTGTGTGTATTCTTTTTTTAAGCCTGACCTTCTTTCAAGTCGCTCGGATGGTATAAGGACGAAGAAGAAGAACAAGAAGATGATGATGAAGAAGAAGAAGAAGAAGAAGAAGAAGAAGAAGAAGAAGAAGAAGAGAGAACCGAGGAAGGAACGAATGTACTCGCGGGCAAGGGAGCGGTAGGTAGGGTGTCGATACAGTTGCAAAGGTGAATTAGTTGGCTGGGAGGTTACACCGCGAGTAACGATAGAGAAGAGATAGTGACTGTTCGATACTCCTCATTCTATCCCACCCTGCCTCTCTTTCTCTCGCTCTTTTCCTCTCGCTTCCGCGAGAGCACGTCGACTGAGCTGGGAGGATTCCGGTGTGTCGGTGACCATCGGGTGGGAGTGGTGCACCAACACCATCCACCTCTCCAGGATCCCGACCCGGCTCATGGGGAGTGGGAAGAACAGTCAGAAGAGTGCTCCGAAGGAACTTAGCGGAGGAAACGTTGGCTAGAGGGAGACGTCCTTCGCTGGCGGAGTAGGAAAAGGAACACGAAGAAGTGGATGCAGGCGGTGGAGGGAGAGAGAGGGAGGGGTGGCAGCGAGAGGGGGGGGAAGGCAGGTCGCGTGCCGGCGTGGTGCTACTCCGAAGCTGAAAAGAGAGGAGAGCATTTACCTTCCCGACGTCTCTCACGGTTAACACGCAGGGGAGCTCCTTTGCTATCCTCTGCGCGTGCACTCTCACAGACTCGCAGAAACCGACGCGCGTATATATACGTACATATATATATATATATATATACACTTAACTTACACGTACACATCGAGGGGGGGTATCGCAGTCGCGTGAGCACCCACACACGCCTGTCCTTTGGCCACACTGTACGATCCGCTGCACACTCACACAGCTGCAACGTAGTCCGCGCTGCGCTCGTCTCTCTGTGTGTGTGTGTGTGTGTGCGCGCGCACACACGCCCGCGCGGACGTCTCCTCTAGGTGTTGTTCCCCCTGTGGCTCACCTACCTACCTATCTACCTACCTACCTACCTACCTACCTACCTACCTACTTACTAACCTACCCGCCAGCCTACGAATTCAGTCTCCCCGCCCAATCGACGGCATATACTTGCGTGTCTGTTGACTCGTATACGCGCGTCTCACCACGGCAGTGTGCACGTGTGTGGGTGTGTGGTGCGTGTCCTCTGTGTGTGTGTGTGTGTGTGTGTCCGTGTACGGCATTCATACGCGGCATCGGCCGCTTTACACACCATCTCACACGGCTTACTCACCAGCGTACGGACCACACTCCGCTCTCGTCGCGTCTCACGAATCTCCTCCGCGAGCGCTCTCGGTTCTCGCTGATATTCCGCTTCGTCCGCGGCAGGAAGGAGGAGGAGGAGGAGGAGGGGGGGGGATATCACACGCCTCGAGAGAGGACCTGGACAACGGAGCACAGGCACCAAACGATCGCCGGACGGTGGTGAGCAACGTGGTTGGCTCCTTCCGTCGCTCCCGAGAGAGAGAAACCGACAGTCAGGACTCGGCTGTCCTGTCGACCACGGCACGACACGCGCTCAATCCGCGAGCCGACTCGACTTTGCCGATCGAGCTTGCAACGGGGATCGACTGTGCGAGATCCCTCGGGAACCGCTCGCCCGGGTCGGACAGAATCGCCGCGCTGGGACTCGATCATATCGTTCAACGCCGGGACCGGGACCGCGAGAGCAGAGCGAACTCTAGTCAGCGAGAGTAGGAGGAGGGTGAGATCCTCAAGGAGAGACAAGGAGAGCTGTTCCCGGTGTGGTGTGTGCTATTCGACTCGTCTTGCTCGAGAAAGGACACGCGCTGTGTGCATCACGGACCGAGAGCGCGCGATCGGGACCGTTATCCAAGCACGTGGTCGCTACCACGAGGTATCGGAACGAGAAGCTCTTCCTGGTGGAATCCGGAATCGGCAGACCGCGCGACAGAGGGAAGGGCTTCGGCACAGCTCAGCGGGATGTTTGTGCGGACGTTTTGATATCTCGCGATCTCGTAGAGGCCGATAATCAGGCGCAAATGCGAAGGCCCGGAAGCGAAGAGGAAGAAGAAGAAGAAGAGTGATCTCGAGTGTGAGGATAGTGTGTTGTTTGAAAACGAGTGCTCTTTTTGATTCACCTTCGCGCCCCTTTTGCTACCCTTCTCTACTACTCTTCACCTCTCCGTAATCGTCTGACTCTGTCCCTGTCTCTCTCTCTCTCTCTCTCTCTCTCTCTCTCTCTCTCTCTCTCTCTCTCTGTCTCTCTCCCTCTCTTTCTCTTCCTGCGCCCCCCTCTCTCTCTCTCTCTCTCTCTCTCTCTATCTATCTATCTTTCGTTTTCTCTCTTTCTCTATCCTGGATCTTCTTGTGAGCACGACGAAGGTGGAAAAGTGTCACGAACCAGCGGAAGTGACAGAACGACCGATCCCCCTCGGCGTCAAGGTCGTGGAATGACGAATAAGGTAAGACGATTCACGGTTCTCTCTTCCCGTTCGTCGTAGCGGCGCCGACGCTCATCATGTATTATTACATCGCGGCATCCCGAGCGGTGCTCCTGAATATTTATGAGGGTGATCGGGATCGCGCGTTCAGGATTCGCCGGCGAGTCCGAGGAGAAACGACGAGAGGAAGCTGACTTCCGACGTTAGGAATTTTTCGTCACAACGTGTTCTGACCAACGTCGCAACGTCGCAACATCGATATGTCACGGTCAGCGATCGTTTCGATGAAAACGCGAGAATAGGCGAGAAGGCGAGAAGAGACAAAAATTGAAGAAGGGGAGAGGCAAGTTTGAAATTTTTCTCAGAAAGTTACTCGTTAGCCCTCATCTCCTCCTCTTTCTGGGATCTTCTGATCCCAGTACGGCAAAAATTTGCACGACGATTCATTATCGGCCAGCGAACGCGAGACTCGCCGTATTTCAATCAGGCTATTGCGAAAACTCCCTGCCAAGCTCGTCGAATTTCCTGATCGCGGCGCCTCGTCCCATCGTTGTCCACGAAATCACGATTCGCACTCCTGGCGCCGGCGTCTCGCGCTCCCGGTAATTACGGAGCTCCTATGCAATGCAGAGGAGGTGTCGTCGCGGGCACAGTAATCTGCGCGCGGGAACGTCGAATGAGAATAGTAATAGCCGCGAATGGGACACTTTTCATTTGAATAAAAACAATCGAATGCGCGCGCGCGTTCGTGTGTGCGTGTGCGTGTGACCACGGAAGTTGTCTCGCAATCGATGGCTCGCCGATGTTGCGTCCGATAAGCATATGCACGCTTCGTGAAAAAGAAATATGATAATAACGGGGACGCAGCTAGAGAACCAGTTAATGATAGGAGAATTCGATCGCTACATTTTCTCTCATCTCGCTATTTGCGGTCGAGAAAAAGAAAACTTTACAGATCCTCCGATGCTTCCGCGAGAATCGCAGTTAATGGATTTAAATGGCAAAACGTTCATCACGCCGGAGACCCCGCCTTCTTAATCGCGAGAATGCGACGCGATGCCGGAAAAAACTTACGTAACACAATTAAAAGGCCGCTCAAAGCGCCGCGCGCATCGTCTCTCTCTCTCTCTCTCTCTCTCTCTCTCTCTCTCTCTCTCTCTCGCGATATAAATTCACGTCTCTACTCGGGTATCGCGCGAAAACGCGTCGGACGTCTAATTCGTTCGAAACCAGTTCTGAAGCTGCGCTTGCGATCCCGCGCAAAAGTGAGCCGCCCACACTCGTCCTTATATCACCGAACGGTTCGTTCTGCCGCTCAGGAAAGCAGACGTTGCAAAAGCTATGTTCCTCCGCCATTCCTGCCGTTTCCTCGTTCATAAATTTACGCGCCTCCAGGTGCGCGCGAGCGCGCACGACTGCGCCCATTCGAGGGATACAGAACACGTGAGATTGGCTGGTACACACGAGACAAGAGCGAGAGACCTTAAGGTAAACGCGCGTCTGCGCCGAAATAGTTAAGGCAATGCGAGTCGTATCGCATGATGTAAACGCGAAAGTGACAGGCGCCGCGAGTCGCCTCGAAGATTTACCTCGATAAGGGAAACACAATCGGCGCGCGAATGTAGCCGAGGTATTCGCGAAATGGCAAGGAGTTGATAGCTACACGTGGAAGACAGCGTGGAAGTGCCAGTATGATAAACACGAAACCGCGGTGCGGTTGGCCGAAGCTGAGAATCGAATCGCGCGGATTTCACCTCCGCCACGCGGAAAATCGTCGGCCGGCGTGCGAATTACCGCCGATGTATTATTCATCAGCGCGGTTGGGGCACGATGGACGCGCTGCCGTCCAGGGTAGACCACGGCGACGTTAACAGTTAATTGATAACAGGTAAGTCGGGCGCGGGACGCCGCGATTTTTGTTGCTGACCGAGCCACGCCGATCTCGATATAGACCAAGCAGGCAGCTTGGTGAACGAGCGAGCGAGCGAGCGAGCGAGCAACCGGCCGACAACACCGTTAACAGTTATGTGAAACCAACGCGGCCGCGAGCAGACCGCTCTTGTCTCGTGGCCCATTATTTTCTTCTCTCGAACTGTTGCTCTTACTGCTGCCCGATCCATCTCTGCCTCGCTATCGGCAATTTGTTAGGATCGGCCGCGCGTACGTGCGCCGACGCACCCATGACTGCGATAAATCGCAAATTACGTCGGGCGCGAATATTGCTCATCGCGCCGAAGTAATTGTAAACAATGCTCAGGCGCTCGGGCCCTCGGCGCCTTAGGAACAAACGATAACTCGCGTGGCCGCGCAAGCAGAAATTTCAAGAGGCAAAGCTGCGCGCGCGCGCGCGAATAACGAGTTCCGTTCGGCGGTATGCGCTCGTATGCGCTCTTGTTGCAAAATTGATTAACGGCTGCGTGCGCGAGGTCGACAGATTGAACTCGGACCTAGCAGCGCGCGAGCACGTAACTGTCCGTTCCTCGAACGAAACGGAGCCGACAGGCTCGCGTCGTTGAGAAACTCCGCGGTTCTTAATCTGCTTTACGAAATTTTCTACGTTAAAACACACAGAGCCCACGTAAAAAGAGCGACCACGGCGAATCTCCGGTATGCGTTCCGATAAATAACCACGGACAATTCCACTCTTACGCTTGTCCCGTCGGTTCCCCTCTTGCAAAAGCGAATGGTACGTGACAGTGTCAAGCAATGTTACGCGAACGACATCGGGGGATCCTACCTCCTGTATGTGTGTGTGTGTGTGTTTTTTTTCCGTTGCTCAACAATCCGGCAGCAATCCGGTGTACAAGCGGCAGGCCGGTATTTGAATACGCCCGCTATTACGAGAATGGGGAGCACGACAATCATGAGAGATTCCCAGACGTTCGAACAATGTCCTCCTCCACCTCGGTTCTGGATTGGCGCAAACGGCAATAAAACGGGCCCCCGAACGACATCACCGTCACCGGGTATACCAGCTGTTAAGCGTTTCTGACAAGCGCCGATGCTATCCGGTGTTTTGTATAATTTACGACCATAGTTGTTTTTACATCTCATTTTTTCTCCATTTGCGTATTATCAAGCTGCTCAAGATGATAATCTGCCTGCGATATAAATAAACGTGTCGAATAAAAAAAATTTTACTAGCGACTCTCTGGAGGCTCTATTTTCTCACTCTATTTTCCGACATTTTTCATCAAATTCCTCCAAATCGAGTATTCTCCGAAATTACATTACTCGAGAATATATATTTCATAGATGTGTAAAGCGCTTTCTTAAAGCATCACCACTTAAAATCTCGAACTTTCAAGTCTGGCTCTCGTCTCGTTCACGAGCGTTCATCGATTCATCGAAATGAGCGTTTTTCTGACTCGCACAACTCTAAGAATATACATCATATAGAGTCAAAACAAATTAAAATTGTTAGTTTAATGTTTTATTAATAGTAATTAATAGATTCCCACAAATGTAAACACACTATGCAAGTGGACGCAATTTCTTTTTTATCTTTCATGACGCAAATAAATTCGTTCCGCGATGCAAATTACATTCCTCTGCCGGGACGTGAAGTCGGTAGCGTCAAGAGCTATCTCCAATCTAGAAGCAGGTTGATCGAAACATAGATCACAACATAACTCGAGTCGAGATGCGATTATGACCAAAACAAAGAAAAAGAAGCCGAGACGCACGGAGCTTGTGTAATGGGCCATTCAGAAGGGAGAGATTGGAACAATTTCAGCCGCCTTTTTGCGGGCACAAATAGGTTCGTAAATGTAAATTCGTCTCTCCGGCGACGAAGACGGGATCTTCGGTGGCACAAAGGCGGTGCGTGGGCTCGTATGCCGACTCTATTTATACGTACGTTCTCGCGCGTACAATGGGGCTCTCGCTGCCTTTAAATTAAATTCGAGCAGTGCCGCAATGGCATTGTTAGTCTCATTGCCGTCTAAAGACTCCACCTCGCAAATCGCGGACGTGTACCGAAAAAGTTCGTGACCGCGTCGTGAAAATTTACGGTCGGCGTGGCTCCGCGACGAGAGTCCTTCTCGTTGTCGCATTAGCGTCTTATTAGAAACAACGTTTCTAGCACGATCAAGCACTCGAAGAACTCGATGATTCACGACGCTTCCGATCCGCGGAGGGAGAGACATGAACCGGTTTGTGAATAAAATTATTTATGTAAAATCCGCGAGAAACGTGCCGCGCTCGTAAGAAGCGTTTTGAATTTAGCCGGCTGTTGTCGGTCTTCCGACGAGGGGAAAATCGCCCCGAGGGATAGTCGAGGCCGCGGATTAAAAGCGATCCCGAGGACAAGAGCGAGTTGTTGCGATGGCGCTCGAAGTGAAAATTTACAGGACGGTTCGCGGTGAAAAATGCGCAAAAACACGTGGAATGCGCGGCAGACCCGCCGAAAGATCATTCAAGCCGCGTCGCAGAGCGCAAGAAAGCCGACATTTTTATGACCGGGCTGCAATCACCGAACATTACAGCAAACGTAAACCTTTTTTACCCGCGCCTTGATTTAAAGCCCGTGTCAGTCGGGACGAAACCGCCGTATAAGGACAGAGCGCATCGCTTAAGTAAACGGTATATTAATTAACTATTCTCGCTTGAGGGAAAATAAAAGGAGGAAAACACGAAGAGGAGACGATCGTAAACCGCGAATCGCGCAACTTTGCGTAATGAATTTGGACGCGAGGCTGCGCGCTTGCCGTCCGTTCTTCTTTTTCCCCTCTTCTTGGCCAGAAATACGTTACACCGTACGATATTACGGAGAAACACACACCGTTTGTCATTTAATTACGGTGAACGGCGACAATGGCAGCCTTGTGCGTGACGAAACCGCGCCGACTGCATCTTCGTCGAATGCACAATGCGGCGACCTTGCAGGCGCGGAGAGATAATTGTAGCGACTACTCGATGGGTAGCTTAAATTTGAGGCCACAGCCTACATTCGTGATGTAAGGACGACGATAACATCGTGCCGCGCGCGTAAGGTGGCGTACGGAGATGCAAAAAAGGGC